AGAGGGGTCTTAGGACGAAGATCAGAACCTCAGGATTCGGGAAGACACGAGTACACAGTTATAGAGGGGTCTTAGGATGAAGATCAGAGCCTCAGGATGCAGGAAGACACAGTTATAGAGGGGTCTTAGGACGAAGATCAGAACCTCAGGATTCGGGAAGACACGAGTACACAGTTATAGAGGGGTCTTAGGACAAAGGTCAGAGCCTCAGGATGCAGGAAGACACACACAGTTATAGAGAGGTCTTAGGACGAAGGTCAGAGCCTCAGGATGAACAGACCTGAGCTGAAGGGGGGGTGGGGGCAGAGGAGACCCACGGAGCACTACAATAGAACCAGGGTGGGTTTCTGGGAAGGGTGTCCCAGAAACAAACTGGATGAATGAAGCCGGACTAACAGGAGTACCGCATCACCGCCAAGACAATTAAAGTGATCACAGTATCCCTGAAAAGAGTGCTCTCAATCATGAGGTGGTGGCGCTTGCCTTTAATCCCAGCACTTGGAGGCAGAGGCAGGCCGATCTCTGTGAGTTCAAGGTCAGCCTGTTCTACAAGAGCTAGTTACACAGGGAGCTACACAAGGCAACACTGTCTTGAAAAACAAAACAAAACAAAAAAAAAAGCAAAAAAGAAAAGATAAGGAACAAATACCGAAAGCATCAGGAGCAGTGGATACATACATCTTTTTTTTTTTTTTAAGATTATTTTATGTGGGTGAGTGTTCTGCCTGCATACATACATGAGCACCACACGTGTGTGCCTGTTGCTCACAGAGACCAGAAGAGGGCATTAGGTCCCCTGCAACTAGAGTCACAGGTGGTTGTGAGCCGCCGTGTGGATGCGGAGAACTGAATCCAGGTCCTTTGCAAGAGCAGCCCGTGCTCTTAACTTCTGAGCCATGTCTCAATGCCCCCCACCCCACTTTTGAGATAATTCTCACTGTGTAGCAAGGGCTTATCTTGAACTTTCATGTATCCTCCTGCCTCAGCCTGTCTTTGCCACCTCACTGGATTCATCATGCCTGGCTTTAAAAAACATTATTTGTGTGTGCGTGCGTGTGCGTTCCTGTGTGTGTGTGTGTGTGTGTCTGCCGGTGCTGTGGTACATTTAGAGGTTTGAGAATAACTTGCAGGAGTTGAGACAGAATCAGGGCCTTAGGCGTAGCTCCAAAAGCCCCTTTACAGGTGGAGCCATCTCACCCTTCCGGGCTTTGCTTGTTTTGAGGCAGGGTCTGCAGCTCAGCCTGTCCCGGAACTCAGAAACTGTGTGTGGCCCATAAACTCCTGAATCTCCTGCCTCCACCTCTCCTAAGTGCCAGGGTTACAGGCAGCTGACGCCACTCAATAAATACTGTGTGCTGGAGGAAATGAACACAGGAATGGATAAAAGGGTGGATAAGTGAGTGAATCAATGAGCGAGGTAACTACATGATGGTTCAAGGGTTAGGCCCAGCTCAGATTCCCCGGAGCACTAGATTAGCATTCCTGAGCTCCCAGGCTCGGT